TCTCTCTCTCTCTCTCTCTCTCTCTCTCTCTCTCTCTCTCTCTCTCTTGTAGCGCGCGCTCACACACACGCACACACACATTTTTTCATCTTTTTTTCTTTAGTTCTTCCTCTTCTCATTTTCTTTTCTCTAATTAAAATAATAAAAAAACAGAAGAAAATTTGTTAATTTATATGTTTTATTGCGCAATGGATGCTAAATATTAAAAAAAATCAATAATTAATTATAAACACATATTTTAAAATAAATAATATTGATTATATTTGTTTATGTTTTTCATTTTAGATCATTAGCGGAACATGGTATACCCGTACAGCATTATTTACACGAATTAGTTATTACAACATTAGTTCAACGTAAAGCATATTATCAACTGCATCAGTTGTTACAATATCATGTAGTTGCAGATTCAAAACCTTTAGCGTGCTTATTACTTTCTTTAGAAAATCTATATCCAGCAGCTCATCAGCTTGCTTTGGATATGCTGAAACGATTAGGAAATGCTCACGAAGAAATAATTGAAGTACTTTTATCAAAAGGATATATTTTACCAGCATTACGGTAAATGTTAAACATTTGTTTATACATATATATAATTTCTTTATACATATCAGTTTTGTCGATTATTCAAGATTAATTTATTTAATTTTCCATTTGCCAATTATAGTTATATTCGATCAGTCGGAATGGTAGATCAAATATCCGATAGAAAATTTCTGGAAGCGGCAAAAGCAACAGGAGATGCAACGCTTTTTTATTCAGTTTTCAAATTTTTTAAACAACGTAATTTACATTTATGCAATGCCACAACTTTTACAAAAGGAGAACGTTATCAACCATATATTCAACATTATAAATATTTGTTCGAAGGAATAGATAATGATTGTAACTCAGACACAAATTCTAACGTTACTACAATTTCTTCGTAAACGATCTTCTTTTTTTTTTGTTTGTCTCTTAGTTTTTTTTTTTTTTTGAAACAATAATGTAATTTGATTCTATCGTAAACATCAAGGTATATATTTAAAGTTACTTATTATTAGAATGTTATTATTAGAATATTGTTCATATTCTATTTCTATATTTATTTCACATCCTATATTTTCATTTTTTTGTAAAATATGTTTATATTACACATACATTATAAGTGTATATATATGCTTATTTAATTATATTTATACATATTTATACATATATTGATTGCAATATTTAATTTGTGCAACAAATGCAATCCGTTTAAAAATTTTACCATATCTAATAATATTTATACTTTTTGTTTTTGCAAAGACACTTGCAATAATGTGATAAATTATTTATTTTGTATTCATGTTGTTTGCATTATTGTATCAATATGTTAATAAGAAACACGATATATAATACATGATTCACGATAGATTATACGAAACATGCATACTTATACGTATATAAATATTTACGTTCGAATCTAGAAACGAAGAAAAGTTTTAAAAATATTTAATAGAAAAAATATTTTTTTCATTATTTATATATTTGATGATTCGATTGAATCGTTGAATTGTTTAGCAAGTGCAAAAAATTTGCATATGCTTGATCAATAAGTTATAACGAAATCATTAAATAGTTCATTTGATATGAGTATTGAAATGTTTATTTTATATGTATATATATATATATACGCATTTAAGTGATGTAACGTGCGCGCGCGCGCGCGTACACACACACACACACACACAATAATATAGTATTCAAAACAATTGCATAAACGAACAATTGTTAGATGTTTTAAGAATAAATATTAACATACAAACGGACGGATTGGATCAGTATAGATCCAAAGTAAAAACAAATAAAAAGCAAGAATGGATAGGAATGATGAATTAACAAGAAGATTGGAAAAAAGAGAAGACGATCAAGTTTTAATTGGTCCACTTTATATTTTTTCCCAAAAAATGATTAAATAAAATGAAAATATAAAACATTAATCGTATTTTTTATAAATACGTTATCAAAACTGGAAATGTTTGGTCCTTTCTTTAATTATCAACGCGTACGACCTGGTAAAATTTTTCGTCAACACTTTTCTATTTTTTATATGAGATTAATATTATTCACACGTTATTTAATGTGCTAATATATCGAAAAAGTTATTGTTAAAAAATTATCTTTTATAAAATACGATTGAATGTGTCAAAACTAAGAATCATCGAATATATTGATTCATTGATTCATAGCATTGTAATATCATTTCTTTAACGAATTTTGTCGATTATTGATAACTCATTAATGATAATGAGTTAAATAATTAAATGTGAAAATGTGAGTAAGAAGAAAAAGAGGTAGATAAATAGAACAAGTGATTAATAAAATAAATAATAAAAATAGATAAACAAATACATATATAGAGAGAGAAGAAGAGAATATATGTGTGTATATGTAATAATTAAGAGATATTACAATCATCCGTGTAAGTGTCTCTAATTTGTTGTTTAGTTTTTCGCGAGGTGCGTCGAATTAAACTACGACTGCGCGGTTTGCTCTTCGCCTCCTCATTGATGGCGACGACATTTGTACTTTGTGCTGGGACCACTTGCTGAGAATTGCCAACAGAGCCGGCACTTCCGGTTCTACCGTGTGGACTGCCAGATCTACCGACTCGATCACTTCTGTAATACGCGAAATCGATCAAATAGCGATCGAATGCTTCATGCAAGGAAAGGTTTTAATAATAATAATAATAATAATATATAAAAGTATAAAAACGCGATATTAAATCTTTTCTCAATTATTCGTTACAAAATCGAGATTCGATCATTTATTGTTCAAAAAATACTTTAAAAAATTTAATAAAAAATAAATTTTCGCAGTCAGAATATTATAATTATATTATGATCGATATTAATACCAAATTTAAAGCAACATCATAATATGATTGAAACAGAAAAATTTAGGTTCACGTATTAGTTCGAGATCTTCAATTTGTATGTGCGTACATGTATTTTACGTAATACGAGAACATGTTAGCATGTAACAGCGTATCGTGTTATTGGAAAAGAGTTATTTGTAATTAAACGATATTGTAAAACGATGAATAATGCAAGTAAAAGAGATTTCTCAAACGACATGTGTATTGAAAAATTGATCGATACATCGAAGAAATATTCGATGCAAGAATGGAGAAATACAAAAGAAAAAAAAAAGGATGAAAGAGAGAAGGAAAAAAAAGTAAAGAGAAGGAAAAAGGGGACAGAAAGAGCAAAAGAATTGTACCTGCGCGATCCATATGCGGAACATCTTCGTCGGAGTCCCGATTCATCTGACTCGCCAACATGATTTTTTGGAACGATTTTGGATAAAGTGATGAAACATCGGAAGATATCTTTGACATTATAATCATCTTTAGCCGAACATTCCATTATTTTGGCACGAAGTTTCGGCAATTCGCAATATAACCATTCGCTTACATCTTCAATCGGTACTTCTCTTCGCGTTGTTGCAAGATCCAATTTATTTCCAGCAACAACTATCGGTACTTCCTGTCGAGTAACGATATATGGTATTGTTCATGAAATAAATACATTGGTTGAAATGTTTATTAGACAGATCGAGTATACTATTCGGCTTGTTTTTTTTCTCAAATGAGACGAGAGAAAAAAAATGCGAAGAATGAAGAGAAGGAACTCGAGATGACGGCAAATCATAAAATGATCAGACGATAATTTTTAAATATATTTAAAAATGTCATCTTATTCTGTTACTATAAATGATCTCTAATTGATGTAATAATTCTATGTAGCTTCTCGTTTTCACGGATTCTTTTCGATTTCAAATAAAAAAAATCAAAATAACGATGTGCTTGATTTCGAGGTATTTATTTTATTATAAATTATCATTCTATTATAACAATATTGTATACAAAAAAGAGGAATATGAATATGTATTTCAGATTAAATTTGTTAATTTTTTTCTTTTTCATTGATCAAATCGAAATCGTTCGTTTTTTCGTTTTATTTAAATAAATTAATATTATTTTTATTCGATACCTGAAAATCCGGTCGTTGTTCCCTCACTTCTTCAAAACATCGCTTTATGCATTCGAAACTAGGTAAAGATGTTGTAGCATAGACAAGAAGAAACGCATGTGCCGTAGCTATACTCAATCTTCTCATAGCTGGGAATTGTAAGTCACCTGAAATTACGTTACAACGGATGTGATCTTTTTCTTTTTTCTTAACATAACGAAATATAGTTTGCCTTAATTTATAAAAAAAAAATAAAAGGATATTACCTGCAGTATCCAAAAGATCAACTTTGAGGGTAAGCGTACCGAGAACGCATTCCCTTGTATAGAGATCTTCGACCGTAGGTCTGTATCTTTCACTGAATCCTTGACCGAGCAAACGACGTATAATTGCGCTCTTCCCAACACCGGCACCACCTAATACCACCAATCTGATTCTTTCATGATCAGCCATTTTTCTATTTAAAAAAGAAGCGCAAGTTTAAGAAAATTTTTCGTGATATTTTGATGTTATCGTTTCGATCGTTGCTTGCTTTTTTCTTTTCGATAGCTTCCTTTCTTGTTTTTTTTTTTTTTTTGATTTTTAATTTCGATCGATTTGCGATTTCAATCTAACAAGCTGAAAAAAAAATTTATTATTTATTATCAAAGAAACGAAGTAGAACGATAAAAAAAATGAAAAACGATATAAAAATTAATTTTATTTTAAAATAAAAAAATTTATGTACGAATACATACATGTATAAGTATAAGAAACAGATAAGAACTGGTATAAATCGAATCGATATTGATTCTTATTGATCGATATTGCAAATGTTCAATTTTCAATTAGAAAGTACCCTATAAATAATAATTGACATAAATTGGAAATATTTTATTTAATTTTCATTTATTTCCATTCGTTTGTTATTGTATTATATGCATGTATATGTATTATATGCATATATTTTATACATTTTGTGAAATTTAAAAAATTAAAAATAATTAAAGAAATTAAAGAAATTAAATTATATAATTTTATAAAATTTATATTCAACAAAATTAAGTTTGCCAATAGAAAAGATATTATCTGTATTTTTAAACCATCTACTTATCTATCTACTTGATAATACATAAATACGTAATAAGGATTTTAATGAAAAAATTAAAATTTTCTTATAATATAAATTCAATAATTGAAAATAATTTCACTATATTTTATCTCACATAATGTTCGTTTGAATTATGTTGTGATCGTATTACAATTATTTTTACAATTTATTTTTTAGTTTTCCTTTCCGTCTCTTATCAACGAAAAATACTCGTTCATAAAAGATATAATTTGAAAATAAAAATTATATGTTATTGCATTAATCTAGTTATTGATTTATTACGTTATTAAACGATCGTTATTACTACCATTAATTTTTCATCAATATATATATTTTTTTAATTAATATATTTTTAGCGAAAGTTTTTAATAAGAAAAAAGTTGTTTAGACGGTTTGTAAAATACGAAAGAATAAAAATAACGAGTACATTGTACATTCGTTGTATTAAAGTTTTCGATTCGTTATTATCGATTATGATGTATCAAAATTAATTAACGCAATTGCCGTTAAAATAAAATCATAAAGTATGAATAACACTGTATATCTATTTATATAGTCAGTAAAAAATACGAGATTTATAATTTCATTTGTAATTATCTAATTAGTTATTGTTCAATTATAAATTGCCGAAAATGCTACTATTAACCTTTCTTCTTTGATATACTTTGATATATTTTTGATATATTTTCTTTCATCTAAGCTAAATATCGTAGAATCGTATTTTTATTCGATTCGAATTGTAAACTTTCCAATAATTCCTAAGAAATTATGAATGCGATGTATAATTTATAAATTATCATAAAAAAGGAGATATATGGGTATATTTGTATAAATACATAATATATTTGCAATAGATTATATATTTATAATATTTGAATATAAAATCAAAAAGAAATAGTACGTAAAGATAATACGTACAATTTGCGCATAAGAGAATCATTCGAACTCTCGCAATCCTTTCCAATCATATTGTAAAAATAGCAATATCGAATCAAAATTTGATGTTTCATTTGTCAAGAATAAATCGTAACTCAATTTGATTAAACCCCATTTAAGCAAGATATATTATATATAAGATATGTAAACATGATACGAATAGCTATTGATTGTTGATTAATAGTCTATATTATCAACCGATTCAAAGCATGGCATGTCGCGTAGTCTTTTAATAGACAGATATTTAAATAATACACAATCCCATTACTTCGTTCAAGAGTTGGTCGCGCGCGAAACCAACTTTGTGGGCCAGATGTATCTCGTTTCCGTTCGCTACACGCTTACCCTATTTATTCATCGATTTTCTCGATTCAAGACCAAACAAGTCTCGTGGAATTTTGCCGATAAACCGAGAATAAACGCGAATAATTATCTCTTTCTAATCCAACCTCGAAATTCTTCGATACAAATTCTTACGAACTAGTTTCCTTTCATTAACAAGCTTTCGAATAATATTTTTTTTTTCAATTTTTTACTTTATTCGTTTAAATTATTATTCTTATTCGATTCGGAAAAAAAATTTTTGTCGTTGTATATAATTGCACATATATACATAAATATATGAATCATGTTAATAATGCAGACTCAAGAAAAAATAAGATAATCATTATTATTAATTTTAAATTATATCAATTTACTCTTTTCAACGACATATATAAGATATATAATATCCAATAGCATTTTCTTGATCATTACCAGTTTCAAAATATTGATTTTTATTCGATATATATTTGTTGAATTCACGATTTTTCTTGTTATTTCTATTATTCAAAAAATATTTATTATGTTCATAATAAAAATAGGAACAAAATGTATATGCAGGAAAATCGAACGATTTCTGATCATTTCGCGTGAGTCGTTCGATTCACGTGCTAAAAATATATGTGTAGAACAGAGATTTAAGGGTATACTCTTCATATATCGAAGCTGATCTACCGTAAAACGATCAAAGGCAGATTACGCGCGCTAACCGATCTATTTCTATGTCGAGTAACCTTCCCTTTCGTTTCATCGCGTATGGTTCGACCGTTTCTCCTTTATTTCAATTTTTTTTTTGTCACTCCTAAAATAATATTAAAATCCATTTTTATTCGAAAAGTTCTTGTGTCATAAAAATCAATTGATCTACATTCGAGTTTTCGATTAAATTTTTATCTTAAAAAAAGTTAAATATTTCTCATATATCTTGTATTTTTTTTCTTTCTTTCTTTTTTCCTTTCGTTTTCTTCGACCGATGCGAAAATACTTTGAATATTCAAATACTCAAACACATTCATATCATTTTATATGTAGCATGTCATACGGTGCTGTATTGTATTAGTATTATGCACACGGTAGGTGTAGCTTATGATGGTTATAAATATTTGCAATCATCTTATATTATATTTTTCCTTTTATTTCATTCGATATACGAAAATCTTTTGATTTTTTCAAGATATAAAAGAAATTGAAACGAACAATCGTAAATAATTTCATGATTTCATACTTCACAAATTTTTCTTTTCCTAAAAATTATCTCTTATTTTTTTTTTTTTTTTCTTTTGATAATAATTTATACGCAAAGAAATCAGACACAATTATCGGTTTTACATTAATGTTAAAGGTCGAACCTACATCCACCGTATGATGTGATAATTAAAGCTTGTTTTTTTCTTTTTTCAAATATTTGTGCGTGTCACATGTCGCGTAACAATTTAGGATTAATAAATAAGTTATAGTGATTTCGTTTTTAATTTTCGAACCAAACAACAGATAACAGCATTAGCGAATATGATCAAAAATAATCGTGAATCTTTTATAAAAAGAAAAGATAATAATTAGAATGGGCGAGAAGAAATATAAAAAAAAAAAAACAAAAGGAAGAAAAATATGATTCCGTTTCTGCATTAGGCAAAAGTAGCGAAAAATAATAGTAAATATATCGGAAAATATTTGTAAATATTTATTTATAAATTCTGATAAATAAAAAATATATAATTTGATAAGAGAAAATAGTTGTTGTTAAAAAATATATATTATTATATTATATTATATCGTAATTATTATAACTTTTAAGATTAAATTCAATCAACATACAATATGTTTCATTTTTTCAAAATTATAACAAATTTTATCGAATCACAAGTCCTTTTTAGTTTTATTTATTAATTAAATAAATTTTTCCACTTATTTTCTTCTTTGTAATTAGTTATTGTTTCTTCTTTTTCTCTGTAAATTTACAATATTTTTCGAACAAAAGAATTGCATTCGATCAATTTCTTAATAAATCTAAAATTAAAAGAAATGAATGTCGAATGATTGTTTATGACTCTTTATACCAATAAAATTAACATAAATAAAAAATTTTTTTAATAATATCGATATTTTATTCAAATATAATTACATAATTGCATTGATATTTGACAATTGATGAAACGAATAAAATTTGACAAATTGAAGAATTGTTGGATAATTCGTTGAAAACAAATTTTCATGATCTTTTCGTTAAGAAAAAATTTTTCAAAGAGAGTTTTTGTTTACTTATTTTTCATTCAATTTTTTTTTTATATTGATTAATTTTAAACAAATTATAATTATTTCATTCGATCATTTTTATTATTATTATTAATTACTTTGCAGCTTAAGATAATAAAATAGGTAATCAAATTTTCTGTTAATCATTTACAGAGAGATTATTTCCAAACTTCGGTATAATTATATAAATATAAATTATATAAACTAATGATACAAATTGTTACGATTAAATGAAATTAAACTTTTTTTTTTTTCTTTTTTTCTTTAATTATTTCAAATCAATTCTAACTAACAAATTATTTTGTTAGTTAATTATTTATTTTATCAGTAAAAAATATGCATTATAAATAATGCACAAAGATAATAACTATATGTATGCGTGTTATAGTTATAATATTACATATGTATATAGACAAGATTAAAAAATTATCATACATAACCTTAAAATAAAAAAATCTTTTCAAATTTTTCAATCAATGAAAAGTCAAACATATGTTTGCGTTTTTAAAAAGGAAACCAAATAAAAAGAAAAAGAATAAGAATGATGAAGAAAAAAAAGAAAATAAACAAAGATGAAACAAAACAAGGCAAAGTAAATGCGAAATAATTGCAAAATTGAACGATGCAAATGAATTTCGATTTTTAGAACGATAAAATGTACATACAAGCATATTTAAATATACATAATTATAGAAAAAAAAAAAAAACACTAGTAGCTTTATGATGTGAACGAGTTCGCGAAATATTTATTAACATCGCGTGAATGAAGAAATGTGTCCCTTCGTTTTTTTTTTTAATCTACAATACATATGTATATACTTATACATATACATATCTATTATACGTACGATGATTTCAGAAAGATTCATTCTATCGTCGATAAATGACAATTCATATTTATATTTACAATGTTACATTATCGACTTTACATATAATTTTCTAATATAAAAAAATAAATTTTTTTATTTTCTTATATATTAAATAATGAATAAAATGAAAAAATTGTATTATATAGATATTGAAAATAATTAATTTAAAACACATCAATTGGAAATTGAAAAATGTAAAAAAAAAAAAAAAAAAAAAAAAAAAAAAATAACTTACCAAAACACAAATAGAACCTGTAGTAGAACGTAGTCTAAAATATAATAATATAGACTATCTGTTGGACAACGTGCAACAATATATGTATATATATATATATGTATGTGTGTAATATGAGAAAGACAGATTCAACTCCAATCTCAACTACTGTCAAGACGACACTGAACAACCCCCGTTCGGAGTATTCTGTTATGACTTGCGTTAGCCGCCAGGTACTATGAAAATCAACTTCCCTTTAAGGAGCGTGCGCAGCATTATTTATTTTTCGATAATGCGGTCGATCGTACACCTTAACTATAACCGACTATTAATTTCTTTCCTTTCATCGTGCTTATTTTCCCGTGTACACGCGAAATTCATAAAATATCGAAATCACTAATCATATTCAATAAAATTATCATATGCTAAATATTTAAAAACATATATATGCATCTATATATATGTTAAAATAGAACTTTTATTTGAAAGATTTGATAAAAAAAGTTAATCCAATGAAAAATCATTGTTCTTTATTTCCAATCATTTAGTAATTTCGAATAACTATATTTATTTTTTTTACCTACCGATATATAATTAAAGTTTTTGTAATCGTTGTAATATAGATACATTTTCATTAATAATATTTCTTTTTTTTAGATTAATTTGATTAAAATCTGTGTTTATATTGGCATAGAATAATAAGATGAAATTAATTGTTGAAATACAAACTAAAAAGTAAAATATAAATAGATATGCATATATATTTATACTTGCGTAAATATTATATTTATATTATATATTGTTATTAGAAATTATTCATTATTAAATTCATTTTTAAATTATAACCAATATTGTTATAAATAATAAGTTCAGAATTAATAAACTTTGCACGAAAACATAAAATTATAAAAATAAATTTAATGGTTTTTTTATATTTTAACTATAACGTAATTACGTATATATAAATTTCTTTATATAAAATCACTTTAAATCAATTCATAATTTATAATTCATTTAAAAAATAATATACATTAATTGAAAAAATTGATCTATCTTGCACGAATGTTGAACAATATATATATATACATATCTATGTATGTATAATTTATTTAAATACATAATGTGAATACAAAAAAAATCTTTTCTTTTAATTCAATGCATACATAAATATGTAATATGTAATAGTTTCATTCAAATGTTCGAAACAATCAATATATATATATATAAAAGAAGAAATAGATTTTTCATAATAAACAACATATTAATCTTCCGGAATTGATAGTTGGTCATCAATGAAATGACATGCACTCTTTATGAAAATGTTGAAAATCTTTTATTATATAATATATTACCATATAATGTCACTAGAAAATGATTTTTATATTTTTTAACGAGAATAATGATTTAATACACATACATATATACATATATGTATATGTATATATATATATATATGGGGGAAAAATTGAACGAAAAATCATAATATAACGAGAATAAAAACAAGGAAATAAAATCAAAGATATTTAAAAAATAATAACTGTAACATCAAGAAAATTGTATAGTTTAAGCATAGAAAGCGAATTGTCAATAAAATATTGACAAATGAAACGACGAAACAATTATTACAACACTCCCTGCCAAGCCTTTTGTTTTAAGCGTTTCATAGCTTTACATCATTATTCATAGTTTTTAAAGATATCACCGCCAAAGAACTAAACAGATTTTTCAAACTGTTTATGTGATGCAGTAAAAAATAGATATTTTCTCTATATTTTTTCGATTTTTTAAAAATTCCTTTATAATTATTACTTCTTTACGATTAGAACAATGGATAATGACGAAGATCGTTTACTTTTCTTTTATTATCGAATTGTTTTTTATTCAGTCGTGTCACACCATTGTTAAGAATAAGCGTACTGTTTTCATTTATTTATTTTTCAACATAACCAACAATCTATAAATTATCTCGATTTCCAAAGCGTTTTCATTACAATTGATTCACGAAATTATTCGAACGAAATATTTAAATTGAAAAAAAAAATAATAATAATAATAAAAATGGATAAATAATATACAGTCGAATAATCGATTATGAGATATTTCTTATATTTCTTTTTCTCTTCGTTCTTTTCCCTTTGTGCTCTTATATCTTTTTTATTTTGATATAGCATTTTTTTTTTTAAACTCACATGCAATATCGATATATATATATATATATATATATATATATATATA